TATATATATATATATATATATATATATATATATATATATAGAGAGAGAGAGAGAGAGAGAGAGAGAGACAAAGAAGGTAAAGCTGCCATGCCGGCCGAACCTTCTTGCCGAAAACAGTCGTCGATGTAAGAAAGCAAGCGTGTAAGTCGTTTTGATGTTCTCCGGAGAAGCATTGTTTCTATTCTAAAGTTTTCGGCGAGGTTCCAGCCCCCGGCAACCCGGAAGGAAGTGAAAGAGATCAGTAAGTGGCTTGGGGAAGGGGTTTAAGTGCACTCCAAGGAGAAACACCATATATCTTAGTTGTAATAGTTGAGATTTTCGAATAGCAAGAGTATTGCAGGAAATACGTTGGCTGCTTCCTTTTTTGTTTGGGAGAACCGACCGAGCTAGGTATCCCCTTAATTGAATTTTGTTTGGTTTCCAAGAAAATTAGGGTAAACTATCAACTTGTGGGTTGGTGGGATTTATTGGGTTAACTGTTTGGATTGTATTTAATTTAATTGGATGGTGAACTATGGGTCATGAAACTTCTTTATAAATCAATTAAATTATATCTTGAGGAATATAGATGGATTTACCTAATTAAAAGATATGTGTAGATTATATCTTGAGGAATATAGATGGATTTACCTAATTAAAAGATATGTGTAGGGACAAGTCTTGAATCATGTTTTAACAAAATGTAATTGGGTTTAATTATACTATTAAATAGAATTGGTAAAATTATTTAACCATGTATTTATCTAATATTCATATGAGTTTATATACGTAACGATATGTAATATGGGGTTTAGAAGGATAAAACGGCCAATGTCTTATTTAATAATAACGTAAAATAAGTATAATACTAAGTATTATTAATTAATACTTTAAATATGAGCGAAGTATAGATTATTGATATGGGTTGTAGGTGTTTAGGGAGTTATACAAACCATCAGGTGAGTTTTCATGAACTTACTTATGATATAGATTATGTGACGTATGTTGACCATGACAGACCCTTCGGTAGGAAGTCGCACTACAAGAAAAACAGCCTTTTACGACACGCAATGCGTGTCGTAAAACGCTCAGACGAGACATAAATGTGTGTCAAGAAAGACCCTGTCATAACGAAAGACGACATGGTTTTGCGCGTCGTCTATTTACGACACGCATTTACAACGTGTAGTTACGACATGCATTTACGACGCTCATTTACGACACGCAATGCGTAACCTTACGACGCGCATTTATGACACGCATTGTGTATCATTAAAGCCCGTGTCATAAATGAAGATGACACGCATTTGTGTGTCATAAACTTCATCAGCCATTTACGATATGCATTTACGACGTGCATTTACGATATTCATTTACGCATAATACAAAAATATGGTAACAAATATATACCAAAACAATCAATTTCATCCAATAACATCATGTCAAAGAAGTTATCAAAAATTCTAATACAATTATATTAATTGGATCTGATAGTACATTGTTATTAAGGGGTTTTCCCTAATTATATAACCTTATACTACATCCCTAACTATATAACCTGATCCTTCATGTCATTGGTTTGCCACCTGGTGTACCACGTAAAAATGTTGAACTTAGTGTCATGGGCGGCTGACCACCGGGCGTGGAGGGAAGGTAATTACTTGTTGATAAGATAACAATGCTTTAATCCAAGACGAGTCAAGAATGCGTAAGAAAAAGAATCAACTAAACAAGCAAAATCTTGATTGGATTTTTGTTAGTGTAAGAAGTTAAAGGTACAACCCGTTAGAAGTCAGCTGGTATCCCAAGTGTGAGGTGTGGAGGCCTGTCATCCATTGTCACCTAAAACAAAAAAAAAAATATTGAGTTTTTGCAGAAGATTCCAAGAGAAAGAATCAACTATACAAGTTAACTCTTAAAAGAAAAGTACATTTTTATCCACTTAGAATCATAATTGATCCTGATTTTCCTCTATATATGTGTACA